AATCGTTCTCAGTGACCCAGATCCATCCACTCCTTATGACTTATGATTTCCAATGAAACTATATTGTTCTTTGTTATTACTCTTCCTTTTGTCTCATATTCCTGTCTACTGTCTCTATTGTGCATTTCTACTTTCTTCTCTTGCTTTGTGTGCTACATGGAGTGTAGCGACTTGAACTTGAACTGTCGCTCATCGGTGCAAAGTTCTATGTTGAAAATAGATAGACAGACAGACAGACAGATATTGATTGCCTAATCGCCTTTCCAACTATTCTATAATAACAATTTGTTATCAGTTCAATATTTAAATTATCTCAGTTAGATTTGAATAACTATTTAATGACTGTTAAAGAAAATTTTCATAACATAAGTATTGAAGAATAGATATTCTGTATAATAGAAAAGATTTGTAACTCAGGTGGATAATCTGCAATTAATAGTGTTCTCTGAGCTGATTGGTTTAGTTGCGGAGCTTTCGTCGTCTTTCTGGATGACATCTTCAGTGCAGTATTTAGGATAGAGTAAAATGACTTAAATTTCTTCATGAGTGATATAATTGCGTCTCCCGGTAACCATCTTTACATGTGTATTGACCATTTTCTATCGGCTTGGATTTTAAACTTCTGGTCATCTGATTTACTTTTTATTAGTTGGTATATTTCATCTATATTAACGTGTTTATTAATTGCATTTTCGTTTGAGTACCAGGCTTCTAGGAATTCCCTGGCACATTTGGTGTTTCCTCTGTCTAAGATTTCGACATTATGCCAATCAAACTGATGTCCATAATCGTCTGTATGCATTGATACTAAAGAATTTATATGTCTTTTCAATCAATAGAAAACGGTCAATACATATCTAAAGATGGTTACCGGGAGACGCAATTATAACACTCATGAAGAAACTTAAATCATTTTACTTTATCCTAAATACTGCGCTGAAGATGTCATCCAGAAAGACGACGGAAGCTCCGCAACTAAACCAATCAGCTCAGAGAACACTATTAATTGCAGATATTCTTTATAATAATATAAATTGCCTAAGAACTTGTGCGCATACTGCTTTTTGTCCATGAGTAATGATCAATAAGTCATACTATCAAGCAACAGTTATCGATAACTAAATAAGAATTAATCAAGTTTAGTTTTATCGATCGAATAACCAATCAGTTGTACTGCAATGATACAATTAATATGACAATCATATTGGATGAATATAGAATTTATTTATTTATTTATTAATACTCTATTTGTACTTATTATACAGTCAAAAGGTTAACTGACAACAATATTGAAGCTTTCAAGTAATATGTCTTAGAATAAATTGCTTGTTTAACTAAAGACAATATACTTCTGTTCATTGTAATAAAAATATCAATAAATTTTCAACCTGGTATATGATAATTAGTCATTTTGTTCAAATTACAACTCTTTCGCTTAGAACAGGAGTGTTAAAATTTCAATAATGGCGGTAAATTATAATATAATGACTAAAATTATCATAAATATAAATTACTGATTCGTTGATTGGGCCATTATAATATTGTAGTGCACCTTGAATGTTTGAACTTTTGTTTTAACGCATTCATGTGATATGAAGCCGTGCTTTCACTGTGCTTCTGGCGTGACTGCTCGCACGTGGCTTGCTCCATTGTTGTGCTATCACTAAAGTGCACTCTTGAGCTTGCTACCCCCAACCACTTAACAGATAAGTTGTACAGTATTCATATTTATTAAATTTGACATTTAATCGGTGGTAAAAATATAATTCTCACACTACCCAGTCACAAGTCTTTTTACTTCGAGTTCGTTTATCGGTACTTACACGTTAGATAGCGTACTGGTCACGGTTACCCGAGGAAACCAAGTTTAGCAGGTCATGACACTAAGGACTATCTAGAAATTGACATCGGCACTTACAGTATCATGAGTCTACTCCTTAGTTCGGTGTAGACTGGATTTTATCAGTAACATTCGCAATATGGCCGCCGCGCTAAGTGGTTCGCCGTCATGGTGCACTCTGAATTGCTGTTAGACGGTTGAAGGCAATCGGCCACAGGAAGACTTCAACCTAGATTTCGTGCCTGTTGGCACTCGTCAACAAGAAGTATTTGCACTCTTGAAGAAACTCGTCTCTCTTCGAGGATTCAAAGACGGGTCACTCAGTGCTGCTTGCATTCAGAGAGATTACCACTGAGCTATTCGGACTCACAATTTACCTCCTGTGGGACAGTAACGGCCACATTGTAAACTTGACTTGTAGAATTCAGCCTGCACCAAACGAATTATCACACGCATGACAGTGGTTTCAACCTAGTATCCAGTTAAAGCATCCATTACATTCCTGCAAGAGGTCAACCGCAAGCCCGAACCGTTCAGTGTTAACATCTCAAACTTCAGCACTGAGCAACTTAGGTTTGAATCTTAGGAGAGACATGAGTTCCTTGAAGATTTCAGACACCACTAGTAGACGAGTGCCAACAAGCAGGAAACCTAGGTCCAAGGCTTCCTGCTGCTTACCTCCAATCAGCTAACAATACATCAGTGATCACAATTTTAAATCTAACTTTAATTACTCCGAGTATAGGAACGACCATAGTATTTGCTACTGGCTTTTCAGTGAATGACAGAGCGGAAGATGTAATTATAGACTACTCAATCGCAAGTCTGAGCTTTTTTTCAGTTAGCAGTGTAGGCTTAGCAATAGCAATCATGCTAAATATTTTAACGACTCTATATGATTATAATAATAATAATAACTGAGACTTTATAACACTAACGAAGTGTCTGAATATTTAAGTATACGGGTTGCTAAAACGGTTGTTTTCATCACACACACACACAAACCTTGTGGCTAGTTTTACATTTAAGTGTTCGTTACACTTATTATCTTCTTCAGTAACACAATCTTGGTAATCAATACTGTAAGTAAACCTCATAATTTATTCAGACTGTAAGCAGCGGCTGATGAGAAGCCAATGAAATAAATGATGGTACCATACTATTCTGAACAAACCACTGTTGTTTTTGCTTTATTCAAATTCATCAAGGGGAATAAATGCATGAAGTATTCTCCTTCTCTTACTGTTCTGAACAATATTGTTGTCTCCAAGTGCTTTTACATTTTTAATTTTTGATGGTAATCATTTCTGAGTGATGTTCATCGTTTATTGTTTTCAGATTGCGTAATTTGTCATTTTGTTTGATCTGTGAATGTATATGTTTTCTTACCGACTGATATGACTAATTGACCTTTATAGGCTATTATCTGACCTTTTATAACGCCAAATAACTGTATCGCTATGAAAATGAAATTACGAAAAGCATACTATTTTCTGATTTATACCTTTTTGGGTGATACGTGGAGTTGTAAGAAGCGAACAAGTCATCTTTACCTTCCAGCCCAGTACTCTATCGATTCAAGATTTCATTCTACTTTCAAACATCACACTATGACAGCTTCATTCTGTGTTTCAGTGGGCAAATTTTTTATACAGGAACAATCTTTCGGTACAACAAATTATGATAAGTATCTATCAACAGATATGGAGAAAGTGTCAGGCAATGATACTTAAAAAATTAAATTACCAACACAACATTTTTTCAAGTATTGGTTTTGTAAGGATTTTGTTTGATTGATTAGAGGATTTCATCATGAGCTGATATCAGTTAGAAAATGAGTGGAAAACCTGAAGAGAGTACTGGACGGCTGTTTCCTACATCCTGGTTTGGGACTCTTCACCAGTACGCACCCACCGCCAGGGCTCGAACCCACGACCTTCTGGTTACACGGCCGGTGAGCTCGTAGACCAATAAGCCACTGAGACCCAATCCAGTGACCAGTGCATGAATTCAAACTTCTGCCAATGATATAGCGTGACCACTTCTCCCACCTTCAGTCTACTGCACCCTGCTGGTCAAGGCCCTCCACTAGAAGCTCAGGTAACTACCTGAATAGGGCCAGTTGCTCCAATCAGTCGGATGAAATTCCCTACAAAACGAATACTTGAAAATTAATCTGATGCTCACTAGTGGCTTGCCCTATTCAGGTTGGTTGTTACCTGGGCTTCTAGTGGGAAGCCGTGACCTGTAGGGTGCAGCAGGTTCAAGGTGAGATGGCAACTGATCGAAGAAGAAATTTCGAAGGGGTCACCTTATGTCATGAATTGGCAGAAGTTTGAATTCATAGACTGGCCATTGGATCGGGTCTCAGTGGCTTATTGGTCTACAAGCTCACTGCCCGTGTAACCAGAAGGTCGTGGGTTCAAACCCTGGGGGTGGGTGCGTACTGATGAAGAGTCCCTCACTAGGACGTAGGAAACAGCTGTTGAATACTTCGTGCATGTTTTGCAGTTTTCCTCTAAGTGATGGCAACTCATGATGAAATCCTCCAACAAAACTGCTTTTTTTAATTTTGACATTTTAAACTGTACTCATATGATGATAAACTAACGAGTTAAATGTAGGTTAATGTTAGTTAGTCTTTAAGACTGTTATTGTTACACCTTTCACTAAACACTCATCATCAGAGAACAAGAATTGTGTCAAGTGAATAAGTAATATATACACACAACCACTAGATAGCTAAGTTCATTATTTGCTGACAGCTTGTAGGGTACAGTGATCATTTTCTGATAGGCAACTGACATCCAGTTAACCTAAACAAAATACTTTCCTAAATTGAACAATATAAGTGTCTAGCCTTCACTATCCTTCTAGACAAGGTCACTAACAATATGCCATGGAAATATCTCAGCTTCTCAGGTTGTTATAACAGCGTATATGTTCTGGCTCTCAGGGTAATGCATTACTAGGAATTTCATTTAGAAGGATAATCAGTCCTCTTTTATTGAGCAAACTATCTCAGAGGATGGGGTGCTACCTAAATTATCCCAGTAACTTCAAGTAAATATAACTGATGTTTAAAAGTATATTACACAAGCAGTAGCACAAAATCCAACGTCTTTAGTATATATATAATTAATACTAATTAAGAACATACCTTGGCGTTCTCATGATAGGTGTTGTAGTGAAAACTTCAGATCCGTCTGGATTAATTTCTGTTTTAGGCAACCATTGGTCATTTCCATCACTTGGTATATTCAATTCAGACGGAACCAGTGAACATCTTTGTTTTCTTCTTTCCAAGATAACTGTTTCTTTATTAAACAAAAGGGAGAGAGAGAAAAAAACATAAGTTTATCGATTAATTTAGAGAACCATTGGAAAACCTGCAAGAAGTGCTGGACAGCTGTTTCGTCCTAGTTTTTGGACTCTTCAGCTGCAGGTTTTCCAGTGGTTCTCTAACTGATGTCAGCTTACGATGAAATCCTTCATGCAATCAAACACAAAATCCCTACAAATCCAATACTTGAAAATTTATCAATTTAATTTAATTTTTTTTTAATGATCCTACTTTGTCTACTTTGTGATGTTGACACAACTGTTGTTTGTTGTTGATTATCACTTGTCCTGATAGTTGCATTAAATCCATCTTCTGAAATTCCTTCTTCTCTAAAGTCAGTAATAGATTTCTCATGACCAACATTTTCAAGTTGTTGATTCGACGCCTCCCATATACGTAATTCTTGTAATATATCCGAAATTTTAACTAATCCATCTTTATCTCTATCAAGTTCATTGAATAGAGTTAATGATAACTCACTAGATAAATCGATTGTTGAATGTGAGCATAGCTTTATCCATTCAGTTTTATTTAAATCACCAGAATCTTCAAAATCATAACTTTGTAAAAGTTTTTTAAGATTTTCAACTGTCATATCTGTTATAATATTCCCAATCAATATTAAAGTCTTGATTCAATGTTGCTTTTATGGCAGAAATCATACAACATTAAGACAGAATATTGCGAAACAATTGGAGAAGTTATGATAATCCACTACAACTACAAAATGCAGTCATCGTCATCATCATTGTGATTTTATTTGATTTGGCACAGTCATTGATTCTGTGTATCTCTCACAAACTCGACATACATACCCCCTGTTTCTTCTCCGCCTCATTACTATTTTCTTATGTCGTAGTAGTAATAGTATTAATCATAGCACCAAATATGTACGCAAAAGAAAATGGCAAACCTAATGCATAACTACACACAAAATCAAGGTCATCTGATAATTCTACGCATACAAACAAACTATTACTCAAATCTGATTGGTTAATGACATATATATGTGTGATTAGTTAATGACATGACAAAGTGTGATTTTTGATATTCTCAAGTCATTATCAGCAAATAATTATTGCAGCTAATGAAGAAAAGAAAAATGACCAATTGAAATATTGAATATAGAATTAAATAATTAATCATATAATCGAAAATGAAGTCACTTTGTTGCACTGTATCATGGCGACTTAATGAAATCAAATAAAAACAATCGCATAAGGTAATGTACTCTGTCAAATAGTAAGTGAATATATTTTTAAAAACTAAGTTTTCACTTGTGCTAAGCTGTTGTATTTTCCGTGTTTAAATAAATATTCTAGGCTGGAGGTGTGTTAAGAGTTCTATGCAAAAGCTCTTTTGTCTCTACATGTTTCAGTTTCTTCGAGTTGAATGGAAGGAATTAGAGAAATTGTAACGAAGTGAACATCATGAACCTGAATACTAGTTAATCTCATCATCTGAAGGAGAAAAAAATACGCAACATACCTGAATGTCAGTGTTTTATTAATGATCTGAACAACAGCTCTGTTCCATGTTCTTCAAAGGGTGTATTACCATTTTAAAAAATATCTCATAGTTTAGTAAATATTATTTAAACAAATATAGATAGGATTTAATTGATAGATGGTGACTAGCAGTGGAATCCAGGATGCACATTTCGTCCTATTTAGGACTCGTCATCTGGATGCACCTGCATTTCTCAGTGAGTGATGATGTTCCCACTGCCGAAACTCGAACCCAGTGCCCATAATTTCAAACGCCAAAACGTTATCCACTAGACCACTTCAGCACAAGTTCTAATATGAAGTGAACTTATTTGAAGGCTTCATGAATGATATCATTGTATCTCCTAGCAATCTTTGTTGTGATTGGTTGAGCATTTGAGCCAGTACTGATTGTTTTTATTATATATAAAGACAAAGAAAATTTATTAGGCTTTTGTCATAATGTACATACCGTAATTCACTGGATTTTTTTGTTTACTTCAAAAAAGTTGATCTCACATTTCACTTATTATAAACTGATGTTTTCTTTTTTTTAAATTACACTTATTTAAAATAAACTATAGACGTGACCTAGATATTTATTTGGACACTGGACATTGATCAATGGTTATTAAAAAATGTAAGGCTGTGATCACCAATTAGCATTTTTACTACCGGATGAAATTTATTGGTCAGTCAGGCAGGCAGTTAGTCCAATCCATACATAGGCTTTAATTTAATTGGATGAATAAATAGCACGTGAATGTTTTGTTGGTGAGTTTTCTTTTTTGAAAAAACTTATTCTTTAGTGTATAAATTGTTGAACTGTTTATAAAATAAACAGTTACAAATAATTAATAGGGATTAAATTTGGATTAACTAATTTAAGTATTCTAGTAAATTAATCCACATAATTACTCATTATGGGGACTAACTAAGTGGCTAATACAAAACTTTGCAGCACTTCTGCGCAGCAGTTTAAGCTGCAATACTCCACATAGTACACAAAGGTAGCGGAAATCAAAGAAATTCAAAAGAATTACAATGAGCAGAAATACTTTCCGGAAAAAGAACAATTACATGTAGGAAACATGAGGATTTAATGGATTTTAAACACTACAACGAGTGAATGCATCGGCGACATTTAGAATGACTTCAAGCCATATCATTAATAGTCACAAGCCACTGATTCTTAAGGTCCCTAGTCAACTAGTTTACGCCTCCCTACACGTCTCAAATCAGAAGTCAAAGATTTTTTATGGACTGACCACCTGTGACTCTTTTCTAACTTCATTCTATGTAAGCGACGACTTACGATGTCTCATACGTGTCCTAACCCTTTCAGTCAATACAGATTCACAGCCTTGACGATTGACTTCCTCTCCTTACCTACCATCTTATACTAGAAGTGTTTATTTGACAGAATACACAATGATAGAGTATTAATCACTAGATGACGTTCAGAACACAATTTATTGATCATAATCATATCGGGGTATATTATGCATTATTTAACGGAATTAAATTTACTATCCCATTTGAACTGAGTACCTCATATTAAATTTTAAATTTCAATAGTTTGCAAGTTCGCTGACATGGAAACAAGCAAAATATAAATGAACATGTATAACCATCAACCAACAGCTAGAAGGCTTTTTTTATACATTTGATCTGTACTGATTTTTGGAAAGGATCAATTTGTTAGACGGTACGTGTTTTATATGAACCAATCAAGATAAGTTAATTTTGATCTAGTGCATATATATATATATAATCAATGGTGCTGGATATTTTAGCTGAGAAGCTTTCATTGTTCTCTTAGATGCCATCTTCAGCACAAGCTATAATATAAAGTGAACTTATTTGAATTCTTCATGAATGATATCATTGTATCTCCTGACAACCTTTGTTGTGATTGGTCATTAATTTGCATCAGTATTGATTGTTTTTATTGACTCGGAATTCGACTTTCCTATCATGTGGATTATTCTCTGTTAGCTGATAAACTTGACTTATTACAATGTATCTTTAGCTCATTGATTCGTCTAACTACAAGACTTCTAGGAATTCCCAGATAATCAGTATTTCCACTGATTAGTATTTCTCCATTTTCCCAACCATATGGGTGTTCGTGGTCGTTTACATGCATTGATATTAAACAATACGTGTCATGTCCTTTGACGGTTAGCTTGAATGTTCTTGAACTCGGAGAGGAAAGGGATGCCTACTTTGACCAATATACTGCTGTGACGGCAGAAGACAAAGTCCGGCAACAAAATAGTTTATTAAGTAAATCAACAGATTTTTATAGATTTTCATGTACATTATTATAGTTTATTGATAGCAAACAAACACAGTCTTCTCATTGGTCGTTTCTCTCTGAACGTTAACCTTTCATCTATTTGTGACTATTTCTTGAAGTTGAGACTATCTACCTGCGAATTGTATCTGCCTACGCAAAGTCTGCTGTGATTGGTTGTCGAACCAGTCTTCGTTCTTATTTTTCTCATGACTAACATTGGGGATGTAAATTACTGTCTACCAGTTTTGGCTATCAGACAGCTCTCACCACACTGCTAATCACAATGCATGCAGTTTGTTTGGGAGATGGTATGAATGTTTGTCTTCTCTGTTACTGTTGGGCTTTTAGGTCTGCATATTACTGGATAGAGTGATGTGTTAGTATTTGTGCGATATCTATTCCTGATGATTTTAGTATGCTAGCCGTTATTTCAGAGACCTTATGTATAAATGATAGGATGAATTTTCTTGTGGTTTCTTGCTGCTAATTTGATTCGAGTTTAGAATTTTCTGGGTGTAACTGTAGAGGTATCCATTTTCATCGTAGACAATTGATATTTCTCTTCGATTCTTCTTAGGACTGGAGTGCTCCAGTGTATTTTACCTCTTTGAATATATTGCCTGTACATAGTAATTTTTGTGTGCTGTTGGACTACCGCTGTTACAACTGAGTATTTGGTCTGTTTAGGTTGAGTTGCTGTATACCCTGCTTTTAGATTCTTTATGTTCATTCTTTTGACTAATTCATCCGAAAACGACCTTTGTTGTCTACTTCTCCTTCTCCCATGAATGTGATGTATGCAACCGCGTTGCATAATTTGTCAGAAAAATCTAGTTTTGGTCTAACTGACTATAATTTAAAACAGGCTGACACTCTGCCTAGTTCGCTAGTCAATCTTTAGCTTGGAAAAAGCAGGAAAGTTAGCCGTGGGACCAGACTTCCTACTGCGGGAAGTCAGTCCAATTGTTACAGAAACTACAAAGAACATAATAGGCTGATGGGAAAGGTAATGAAAGTATAAGTCGTTTGCAATCTTCATTATTCTTCATGTAGTGATTATCCACTTAGCCTTAAAGTAGTCATTATTATCAAAAGGCAAAATGGTTTTTAAACTGAAGTATAACGACTGCAAGTAATCCACAGGAAGGCATAGATCTAGGTTCTCTAACCGTTGAAAGTAATCAGTAGGACTTTCCTCTACTCAACAGATTTCAACACCAATCACCCAATGCTGTGGTCATAGATATTACAGATAAGCGGTTAGGGTTAAAATTCACTTTCTGTATCACAGTTACACAGTACTTGTGACTGACAGTCAGAATGTTAGGGTTGACAGAATTATAATACCAATTAGAAGTCCATCAGTGTGATCAACCTCATAGTTTGACAATTGTAAATATGACCTACGTCAATGCAATTGATTGTTGTCCGGTTAACAATTGATATCTTTAAATATTCCCATTTTTAATATTAGAATAAGACATATAAGCGAATAATATTGCTGTTTTCAATTAGATCTTCTTGAGGCTTTACTCTAATTTACATGGATTTATATATAAAAAATTTTAACCAATGACAGTGATTTTGTGGAGAGAGTTATATAGGGCGAACAACTAGACAGCTTAACAAACGTATTAATGAGGATCTTCCTTCATGGTTTGGAAAAGGTCAAATAAAATCTGTAAGAAGTTCTATTTTGGCTCATTTGATTGATAGCAGTCACTAAGTGAACAAAAATAGTGTCTTCAAATTTATCTATCGCATCTCATCGAGCCTTTCGAACCCGTCTTTTACACATAGCCGAAGCTATAGGAATCAATTCGAGAGAACAGTCCTAGTCTTTGCATACAAAAGAAATTTGTTCTATCTTTGTCTCTCCCTTGACCTAGGTGAATTCTATTCAAAATCCTCCCACCCTTTATTATTTTCCATTTCCTTCGTATTTTTATGATATTTATTTAAAGTCTGATTATCTGTCCACTTCACCTTTAGTATTACGTAACTTTTAAGATTTGACCTAATTATTTATTTATTGAATTGTCTACATATACATATATTACTACCTTCGGTATTCTTATCGCCACCTGCACAAACCTTATTATCAATAATTTGTTATCATTATAATCATCGTTATTAACTACGTTCAAAACATTTGCCATATTATTATTATTATTTGATTGCATGGGGGATTTCACCATGAGCTGACATCAGTTAGAGAACCACTGGAAAACCTGGGGGTACTGGACAGCTGTTTCATCCT